GATTTGGTATTGTTAGTTGTTTTCTTTCTCTCCAGATAATTTGAATGAAGAAAATTAATTCCCTCTAGTCATTGTTTTAAAAGAATAATTTCTATTTGAAATGAAATAATTTGAGATGTGCTCTTTAGTATTTCTAAGGATTTCTTTCGTTATTCTGATTATGAAAACATCTTTCTATTTTCATTAGGAATCTCTGTACATTACCATGATTTTGTAAGAAATGAAATATTTCATGAGCAGAGCTATTTATGTGCATATAAAGATGGGCAGGATTTATACATATGCATGTACCCAAATTTTCTATAAATATTTTCATGGTAATTGTTCTGATGAGCTTTCCTCTTTGGTACCTAGACTTTAGGGATTTAAGCAAATACTAAATTGGTAATTGTAAATATAAGAAGTCCAGTAAATTATTTCCTTTGTTCCATTTAATCTTTTTTTAAAAAAAACTATTATGTAAATTTTTGTAACTTTGTATAATATTTATTATTACACCTAATCTTTATTCAAAAATTTCATTGCTAATCATGCATTACTTTTTAAGTAATACACATATTTATGTCTTTTTTGTTTCCGTTCCTTATATTATGGCTGCTACTGTATATGTATCCGTCTGTCTCAAGATCTGTGCCTGAAGTGTTATGTCCTCTCCAGTGTGCAGGTCTGGGCAGCATTTTTTTTATGAGAGATTGGCAGTTGCCCATGTAGCACATCTCCATGGCACTGATGTTATCCAAGGGAAAGGTAGAGGCCAATATAGCTGGGCACCAGTGTCGTTGCAGGAGTTGCTAGAATGAAATTGAACATGACATCAGACTGTCTTAGGGACCCCAGTTCCAGATTTGAATTCAGAGTTGTCCTTCTCCTAGTCTGGTTGCCAACCATGGATACAGAGGCCAGACTGCCCTACTATTTACCTATAGTTGCAGGTTTTGAATTCAGTTTTTTTCTTTTCCGAGACCAGTTACGACCCAAGGCTATAAAACCTAATCTGTCCTGTTATTTACCCATAGCTGGCAGGGAGAAAATATCAATTCATACCTTTCCCAAGAGTGTTAGCACATAAGTAAATCTAATGAACTTGAATGGAATTCAACCTCAGATCTCGGATTCCTCAGTCGCAACCGCAATCCATTTCACCACCTTGATAATATATATATATATATATATATACACACACTTTTATATAAGCGGTATATAATATATATATATATATATATATATATATTTATATAAGAGTTATATAATATATATATATATATATATACTTTTATATAAGATATATATATATATATTATAAATTAATGGATTTAAAATATGGTTTTTCGGCACATTCTAACCATATTTATTATATATATATATATATATATATATATATATACACACACACACACACACACACATATATATATATATATATATATATATATATATATATATATATATATATATGAGAGTGTGTAGACATGAAAATCAACACTGTATGGTTACTGTAAATTTTAAACTTCATCTGATGATTACAGTGAGGTATGAAACTGACTTTCAGCAATAACAATGTATAATTACTCTCTAAGCTTAACAGACAAATCGTGATGAAAATCGATCATAAATGAAAATGACATGTTCATCATTAATTAATCATAGCTAAGAATTGGAAGCTCATGAAGAATGGAAATAAAGTTCAAATAGATATATTATTTCGGGATCATTTTCCAACTTATTCAATATGATCTTCGCCCTCTTTAATCTTCTAACTTTCTGTCCTGGAGTAACAAGGTGCCTCAAACATTTCATGTATGATTTTATTTTCAAGTCTTTTTTACACTGCTCTTTGGACTGTCATAGCTGAAACTCCTCTCTCACATGCCAAACATCTTATGGATTGAGTTGGATCTTTTCTAATTGATCTCTTTAGCTTTAAGTTGAAATGATTATCCCTCTTCCTGTTGCAACCTCCTGATCCAGTTTTCCTCCTTACTGTTCCCTCTTCTTTAAACTTATTCACCATTTTCTTGATGGTTCTTGAATGGACTTTAAAGATGTAAGCCAATGTCTGAATGTTGATTATCTTTTTCCTTTCACCATTGCTCAGTTGGGAAGAAACAAAACGGTTTTAAAATGTTCTGTTTCTAGCTGAATAATGAAAGGGTTTCTCAGTGATTCTTACGATAGTGCCAAGATGGCTAAATGTCTTATCTGAAAAACTGGGAAAAAGAATCACAATTAGTTTAGTGGTTTTTTTTTAGATATTAAACATTTTTTAGATTCCACTTCTCTGTGGAACAGACTCTCAAGAGGATGTTTACCCAATCACTACAATCTTAACCTCTTCAAGTCTAGTGCTAAATGTTATTGTCCCCCTTTTATCCATATAAACTACTCTTTAATATAACCGTCTATCTCAAGTGGCCACTGGGCCTTGTCCAGGGTGAACCTTGCTGTAAAAAAAATATTAGGGTGTATCTATCAATCAGTTTTTGTAGCCTGGTATGTAGTTACCTTTATTTTGATCTGAAATTTTCACTGTATAATATTCAATCTGTATCAATAAAATAAACCAGGGAATTAAATGCATTGACTAATAAGGCAGTTATGCTGAGAAATACATTTTGAATAAATGCTTCTTTCATCATTAGGCTATGGATTTACTGATGTCTCAAAGTGCTGCCAATTTGACGTTATCAATCTATTTTGCTACTTCAACAAACTATTGTAGTGATCAAGTTGTATAAAGGGGGCTTGCTCTCAAACATATACACCTGTCATTGTTTGTGTGGGCATTTATTTTCTTATATATCTATGAGCATCATAGTAACATTATTTACAAAGACATATCACGTTTAGGAAACAAAGAACAATATAAAATCAATTGCTTTCCGTAGTCTATATATTTTTCAAAAGATTTTCTTCTTTTCTGTTTCTGTTATTTTTTTTTCCTTGAAATGTTCAGCTGAGTCTCTTTTGGGTGTTCATTGAGTGTATGTTATGCTAAGTGCAATCTGAAGATTGGTTATGACATCAGCCAATGTAAGGCCAAGATGATGTGTCAAAAACAGTAAAGATAAAATGAACGATGAGGGAAAAACAATGTCTGGAATAATGAACATTTATCTTGGAACTTCAGCAAACAATATTTTTGTTGAAATATTTCTGAGAGCTGAGTTCAAATTCCAATTGGATTCATTACATTTGGTTCCGTCCAAATACCTTTGTGAAACATATGAATCCATCCCCCAACTACGGGTTGAATAGTAAGCCTTGAATTTTGAAAAACTGTTATTATCAAAAAATTGTTAATGCTATATTCATTTGAAAAAAAAAAAAAAAGAAAATTTTAGAATTTGAAATATCTTTTGACATTAACTAACACACTTAGGGTTGATAAGCTGTAAAAAACGAAACAATGCTGAAATTTTTGAAGGAAGTAGATTGAATCAAATGGAAAGTCAGTATTCAATATTGTGTGAGTTATGAAAAGTTGTATTATAATTAAATAAAAATTCTAATTCAATAAGAAACAGCATACATGAAACAACTAATTACTACAATATATAAAACCTACTATCTTTTGGCATATATATATATATATATATATATATATATATATATAAAATAAAGTATCAAGAATCATGTTTCTGTGTGTGTGTTTTATATATATATATATATATATATATATATATATATATATATATATATAATGTTTTACTAGATATTTGTATTTGACTTCACGTATTTATTAAACAGTCTATTTATTTATTTTCATTTACCAGTTTCTGAATATTCAAGAAATATTATTAGTGGAGTGCATATTCAAGAAGTTTTATTTATTAGACAGTGCATATTTTCTTTAATAAGATTTCTTGAATATTCAAGCTGGTAGACCTAAATAAATATATGTATACATATACACACACAAAATGTGACAATTTATTTCTTGGAATGATCCCTTCTAGCTGTTGTCACCTAAATATTCCATTTGAGAAGTTCTGCACTACATGAGATTATCGTGCCATTGCAGGAAACATTCTTGGAATTTATTTTCAAGAATGCCTTTCAGTAATGTAGTCATGTGTTGTCTGATGTCAATAAATCTTGTCCTTTTATGGCAGTTTTCAATTTTCAAAATGCTCAAAGATCACAGGGGGCTCAATCTGACGAATAAGTAGGATGGCCAATTAGTGTAATGTTTTTTTTTTATCCAAGGATCATGAATTTATAATGCATAATTATTCTCCTTCCCAATCACACACACTGTTTTAATATTCCTATTCTGTTTTTCTGCTGTCAGTCAACCACTCAGTATTCAATCTGAACACATCAGTTTTTGTGCTCTGTCCACATTTGAATCTGTGTGTTTTTGGCTGCTCACTTCTTACACCACCATGCACGTCTTCTTGAACAATCTATACCATTCAAAAACACTTGATTTCTGCATAGCATGTTCACACTAAACCATTTTAAAAAGAGCTAATCTTTCACTAGGATTTTTACCAATCATCACACAAAACATGATGTTGATCCTTTGCTTCAGATACCTTTCACTCATTTTCTTCTAACAGTACAACATGAACACATACAACTTCCTCTACTGCTTGGCAGTGAATTATTCATCTGGTCCCCATCTCAGGAAAGTGGAAATCAGAATATGTCTGAATGTGCTTGAATCCAAATGTTTGACTCCTTACCCCAGCAGCACACTACACTAATTCAAGGAATTGTCACACTTCATATATGGGTGCATTAATAAGTTCACAGCTTGACATGTAGTGTAGTCAGTTAAATTTTGATCTGAAATTGTCATTGTATAATGTTTGATGAAATATTTACTACTGAATGTGTATTGAAAAAGAAGATCAAGCTGAAAAATAATTTTTTTTTTTCATGATTAGAACTTAAAGTGGCATTTATGTTTTATTTAAAGCACGACTGCTCTGTTGTGAATGGTATATTTTAATTTTAGTCTTTTCAGAATGATGACATATCCTAATTGTTTACAGGTATACTGGCCGTTCCACTGCAGCTCTGAAGTGTTTCAACATGGCTCGGAAGGACACTGTCTGGGGCAACCGTGCCATCTTCAACATGGTAGAAATTTGTTTGAATCCTGACAGTGATACAATTGGTGGGGAAGTGTTTGAATCAGTTGAAGGACAAACAGGGTGAGACATTTTTCCATTTTTCTCATCGAGGTGATCAGTTTGAAATTTTTTTTTTGTTTTGTTTTTAGTCACTGCACATTTTGTTTTTAAAATGCTAGTGCAGTTGTCTGACCTTCAACCCATGATAGTTTATGAGCATGTCCAAAGATAAGAAATGCATGTGGTGGCAGTGTGGTGAGAGGTGCAAAAGTTTATTTGCTTCATCAATCTTTTCATGCCTATATTTTTCTCTTGCCTGACATAGTTGAAGCAAAGTCAGTAACACAAAGCATGAACATTCCAGCTCACAAGTAATTCCTTAATACATTTCTCGTGTTCTTTGTTTGTGTCCTTTAATATATGTAGCTATTTTTTTTATTTCACTCTCCTCCCCCTCCAACAGGATGTGTTGGTGGTGCAATGGATAGTAACTCTGAATGAGAAATTGATCAAGAATTCTGCTTGCGTTTATTACATTCACTTATGTGCAAATACCCTTAGGAAAGGTATGAATCCATTGCCTTCCCCAACTATGGATTAAATAGTAGACTTTGGATATGGAAAAAAATCGTTGTTATTCTCAAAAAAAATGTTAAAGCAATATTCGAATTACAATAAAAATGTTTTAGCTTTAAATAACCCAAGATTTGATTAGCTGTAAAAAACTGATCAATGAATCTTTAAATCAAGCAAGGCGTTAAAGTCACTAATGTACAAATGGTTACTGAGGAAAAAGGAAAACTGTGTGAAGGAAATTGAGAAAGTATTATTAAGGAAAAAGGACAATAAAAAGGAAAGGATTTAAGGAGACAGAAGATGACAATTGACATTTCGTGTAATTTTTGGCAGATTGTAATTGACAAGAAAGGAAGAAAATGGAATAGAGTTCCACAAGTGAAAAAAATGATGAGAATAGGTTACATTATGCTTACTTTTAGCTATTTCTACAGTAAAATGTTGAGACTTAACTGCCAATCTAGTACTACGCTTAAATTCATGTAGTCAAAGTACCAAAGATGAGAGCTTATTAGAACAAGTGCCATGAAAATATTAGAATAGGCACAGGAAAGTTACAGCAGTGACTAACTGATTGAAGCTGACATGGTAGGTTAGAACTGATAAAATTGCAGATTCTTCTTTGGGTTTTGTTAAGAATCTTTAGAAATGTAGCAGAAACACCAGACCAGATGTGGCAACAACGCACGAATGAATTGTTAATAGATTCTGATTAAAAACAGTTGAAAAGCATGACAGAGTGAATCAGCTTCCTTAGTAGCAGATTTAGCAATTGACTCAATATTATTATTCCAATTCATATCAGAAGAACACTTTAGACCAAGAAGTCACAAGGAGTTACTTGATTGGAGGTTAGCATTTGTCATACTGATGGAAGGCAAAAAAAGTTTCTCTAAAACAATTAAGACAGCAGTTAAAATTAAGCCACTTCTTGCACCAGTTAACTACAAACTGAAGCACAGTTTTGAGATCAGCTGCCAATTTGACTTTATCAAACTATTTTGTGACCTGATCAAACTATTGTAGCAATCGCGTTCTGAAAATAAGTAAATTTTTTTCTCCCAAATATATATAGGTGTCTTTGTTAGTTTGTCACCCATGATCAATGTGTTTCTGTATCACACGTTTGGAAATACTACGTTAGTAAGATAAAGTAGAATTTATTCTCCACCAGCCATTTCAATTCCAGGAATCTTTTGAATTTTCTTTTTTTCTTTTTTATTCAACACTTTAATGTCTGATGTATAGTATTTACCTTTTTTGTCTATGATCTCAGTTTTATTTCTTCATTCTTTTAATATTTGGACATTGTTTGGTCGTCGCGTGTATGACAATAAACTACATCCGTGTCCTCAGTAAGACGATAAACTACATCCAACATCAAGGCCTCTGATCAGGAGGTTTGAAGGAACGTGGAACCACCTCTTAATTGCTGATATTCCCAGGTCCACCCTGACCTGGGGTTGTAGCACCTGTTATGGTCCCAGCTATAGGTAAATAGTTAACCCCTAAACTGGGGTCAAAACACCTATGAAAGAGTTAAAATAGGTTTTAACACCAGAAATATTTTATAAAAAAATTATTACCAGCAATAAATATTTGAAGAAAATTACTACCAGCAATAGATATTTGAAAAAAAAATTACCAGCAATAAAAATCATATTGGCTTTAAATAACCTATTGAGGTTGATATGCCGCAAAACAAACTAAACCAACCAAACTATACATTTTTTTTTTTTTAATTAAATTACCAGCGATACATTTTTGAAGAAAAAATATTATGAGAAATAAATTTTTGAGAGAAAAAATTATTACCAACAATAAAAATTGTTGGCATTAAATGACCCATTGTAATTGATATGCCCCAAACCAAACTAAATGTTGTTTAGAAACCGATTTCATTTTATTATTTAAAGTTTCTGCAAGTTCTTTTATGGTGTCTTCTGATTAATATTGTATATAAAACTATGTTTTTAATTGATGGAAAGATAAACATGGCACAATTTTCAACTTTTCAAATTAAACTTAGATCTATGCCTATGTCTAGCTAAGATTAGATTAACAATTAAGAAAGATGTTAACAATTTATATTAATAGAAATTATTTCAGTGTCTTATCTACTTCTCTATTGCAAAGATGCATTTAAATATATTTTCCAGTCAGTGAGACTTTAAATATGCACACTGAAAACCTGCAGAGGAATAAGACACACTGCCTCCTGGATTGATACTTACAGATTCAAGGATACCTTAAATCTATATCTAGCTTTTGATTCAGTTGGAATCATGTAAACTGGAACTGTGTTTAGCTTTATCACTCAAGTGTAAACTGGACCTGTGTCTACCTATCAATTAATTCATTGTGATTTTTGTCCTGTAAGATTTATATTCAACATTAGATCATCCAACAAAGGATGATCTCATTAAATTAATCAAACTCACCTAACCAATCAATCATACATCAATATTACCATTCGCAATTTAATTTCAGTGAGCTGCTAGTGCTATTTCTATGAACAGTGTTTAATTTACCCACAGATTTTGTTGTATCATATGCAAATTAGATAGACAAGTATAAATAGAGAACAACAGGCAAGCATAGTTGCTAATCAGGACAGTGTACTATGATTACTACTATGCAGAGAGATATGCAAAGCATAACAAATGTTTTCTTTATAAAAACAATTTTCTTTGATGTAGCAGTGTGAATTATTAAGGTTTCCATGAGTATTTAATCTTAATTTCAGTTACTTTTTATTGCAATTCTCAAACTGACCAGCAGTTTGAAATCTGATAAAAAACCAAAAACCAAAACACACCTCAAGTCGAAAAATAAATATTTTTCTTCAATCATTTTGGTTAAATTTTCCTTTTCACTTGTCTTTAATCACAGACTCACAAATACTTTTAAAAAAAATTGTTCTCAAAACTAAATATTTATTATCTACTGACGATCTGATATCTTGAGTGCCTGACAATAATATATTTTTGGTTTAAATCAGTAATAAATCTTGAAAGATTTAATGTTGTTTATCTCTGATAATCATTGTTCTTACTTATCCGTTTGATCTCATTGCATTTGATGACATTTGTATTTGAAAAAGGAAGGGTTGACAATTTACATAGATACATTAATGTATCAGGTTGAGCAATAGCTGAACATTTGATTAAAAACTGGCAATGTACCTTCTCTCATAGCCTGGACATGTTCTCAGTGCTGAGTAAGGCTAATACTAATTATCACTTGGTTTTGGAATCAGTGTATATTGTCCTACCAGCCATCACTGTAAGCAGAAGGAGTGGTTGGTGGGACTAAAGGAAACTTGCATTTGATGTTATATTATTTTATTTTATGTTTTTTTGCATATGAAATTAGTCTGGAATTGTATAAGTTTTTAGTTGCTGTGCACATTTTTTGCCCTCAATCTTTGCTCAAGACAAGAATGGACTGACAAACTGGTTTAGTTGATTTGATTGTTATTATATTTCAATATTACCATTTTGAAGTAATATTTTTGTTATCCCTCTTTCTTGTTATGTTTTGTTTCTTTTTAGTGATGAAATGCATTTTAATATGTCTGCTTTTATTGCACTAATATTTGTATTTCTATCTGCTATATTGCTTGATCGTTTGTTCTATTTATTTTCTGTAATATTTTTAGACTGTTCCAAGGATTATCTGAAAGCCATTATCATGTTTTTTTTTTGGTTGGGTTTTTGTCATGCAAAAGGAAACAGAAGTGGGTACTGCAAATCACAGAATAAATGGGCTTTACTGGTTAGTGTGTTCACTAGAGGTAGACAACTAGTGCTGGTAATATCACTACTACTACTGTTAATGTACCTTAATTATTTAAAACTTTATTGTTCTCATTTTGGTTGTTATATATGTTATTGTAGACCAGAATCCTCTAGGCATCATTACATATCCTTTGTTTCACTGTTATGGGATATCTGTTGATTATTTTGTTATTTTTCCCTATAATATCAGTTGTTATTTGTTCCTGCTGAACCTATGTCCTACTATCTGAACCAGGGATTGAACTTTTTGGCAGTTATACAAAGTATAACAAATTCCTTTATCCATTAAGCCACTATCCCAAAGTACATCAGTGGTGGGTTTTTGAAAGCCTTTTTATGTTCAGTGTCATATGGTTTTGACATTTGGTTATCATGACAGAGGCATACTGATTTTTTAATCATTTTGTATTTCATTTTACTATTGCTGGTGTCTCAATTTTGTTGCTGTGAGGGAATATTGTAAAAACAGATGCAAAATGGATTCACCTGTGTTTGTTTGTTGGAGGTATGCAACTACTGCTAGTAATTTCATTACTACTACTGCTGTTTATGTATTGGTTTTCATTGCCATAAAAACAGAAGATATGTTGTAGAAAAATTATAGGAAAAAATAAACTTTTTTCAAAGTATATATTTATATAATTCATTCATCAAAAACAAACAAACCCCAAATTGATTTCATAAACTCAAAGCAGCAAAATAACATCAAATTAATCATAGGTTTCTACATAGGTGTACTTAGAACTTGTAGTCCCAAATATTTATGTGATGAAAAAATACATTGAAAATATTTTTAAATTCTTCTAATATACTAATTATTTCATTATTTAACACAAAAGATGGAAAGCATACAAAATCCACAAAAATATACAAAATGAAATAGCACAAATAACCTTTGATAAAACTAAACATATAACCTAGCAACAAAAGAATTTTTTTGTTAGGTGGTAAAAAAAAAAATATTGATCAGTCTTTTCTCAGTCGCCATACATCTTAGTGACTTTATTGCCTTGCTTGGAGTGAAATGATTAAAAAAAAAAAAATCTTTTGGTAAGATTTAAACTTGCTTTTTTTTTTTTTGAGAAGCTTAATGAAACAACTGCCTTATCAATTAGGCTATGGGGATCTTCCAACTGCAGTCATTCAGATATCACCATATAGACTTTCCTTATTTTCTCCAACCATCTGATTCATTACCATTTTGTTTTTAATTATAGACACTAGTAATATTCGTTAGCTATTTTGAAAAAAAAATTAAATTAAGCATTGTCAGTTATTATTACTTTTTTTTTCACTCTCCTTGTTATTATTGTCAGCAATGTGAATCTTAAATTAAGAATGAACCTCCTCTAAGGCTTGAACTCACATTCCTTTGTTCTAGACATCTGCATGAATCTAAATTTTATATCTAATTTATCACAACTACTTAAAAAAAGCAATTACAAATTTAATGCTTTTTTATGGCAGCTGTTCTGATAAGATTTTTTGCCTGGTGCCCCGAATGCAGGAATTTAAGCGTGTTACTAGATTGGCATTTAGGCTCCATTTTTTACTGTTGAAATAGCTAAATGCGACTGCCTTTTTCTATTTCAACAGTTTCTTTTCTTGCACTTCCTACCCATGGAACTTCCTTATCTTGTTCTTGCTTCCTGATAATTTCTTTTATGTACTGTGTCCTTTCAGAGGATAGGTGATCAAGACCCCCCCACCTCATCATGTCTCTTGTCAAAGTTTTGTCTTTTGTTGATTCTCCAGATCCTCTTTTGCCATTCACTTTTTTTGATGTGAACAATTATAAAATGAGAAATCATAGGAAGGAAACATTCTCCCAAATAGCAAAAACTGAGAATTTATTAAATATATATATATATATATATATATATATATATATATATATATATATATATATATATATATATATATATATATATATATATATATATATATATATATATATATATATATATATATATATATATATATATATATATATATATATATATATATATATTATATATATATATATATATATATATATATATATATATAAAAATATATATATATATATATATATGTTAAATTTATATATAAATATATATATATATATATATATATTATAGCAATATAGATATATATATATATATTGATATATATATATATATATATATATATATATGTTATATATATATATATATATATATATATGTTGCTATATATATATGTTAATATATATATATATATATATTAAGATATATATATAAATATATATATATATATATATATATATATATATATATATGTTAAGCCATATATATATATATATATATATATATATATATATATATTAATATTTCACCCGGAGCAAGGCAGGAGTGCCACTAGCATGCAAGGGGTTACAGAGTGTAAGAGTAAAGAGCAGTGTTTGGGAAAAGGATAAAGAGGAGGACAGGGATCAAGGTCAAGGCATAAGAAGATGTCGATTGACATTACATTTGAATATTTGAAGATTCTAGCTATCAGGGAATCAAGTGATAGAAAGAGAGTTCCACTGAGGGGAGGTGTGAGGTAAGAAGCTGTTGGAGTAGAAGAGATGGCTACATTTATCCGTTTCAACAATGAAAGGGTGGGACTGAGATGCCAACCTAATAGCATGATTAAATTCATGCAGTTTGGGGACCAGTGAAAGCACATTATGTATGTCACGTGTTGCTTACCCCTACCTCTCTTTCCCTCTATCCATCCTTTGAGTATCAGATTTTCCAAGCCTTCCTTCCTCATTAAGGTCCTAAAAATTTCTGTTGCCTATTCCTGATGTTAAGTATAAGTTTCCTCTTCATTTATATTCTCTTCAAAACCTTGCTCACATGTTTGGCCCTTGGTATCCTTCGTATCGTTCTGTAGAACTACATTTCTTTTGCCTCAAGTCTCTTCTTCATTTTTGAGGAGATTGTCCAGCATTCACTACCATACAGGTGGGCAGATATCATTTAACAGTTCAGCACTCTTTACAATCTTCAAAAATTTAAATGCAACATCAATTGCCATCTTTTGAATCCTGTTTATCTTTTGTCCTTTCTTCAATTCCCCCTATTCTCAGTCTTTTCTTTCATTGTCACTCCCAGTTAGCCCATGCATTCCCTCTTTACTTGCAGTGAAATTATTAAAAAAAGAAAAAAATTACCAACAAATTCGTATAACCTAGTTACTTTTGTCCTGTATATTTTAAAATTGTCTAAATCAGTCTTACGTTATTTTCATAACATTATTAAAACCATTATCTATTCTTTGTAAATCAATTATTGATTTTTCTCATTGCATGCTTTTCTGAACTGATTTCCTCTTTTGTTTTCAAATTGTCTTAACATTGTGCCTCAAAGCTTTCAATTTTCAGTTATTTCAATAACAAGTGAACAAGTATGGCACTACAGTTAAGAAATGTAGACATGCAGTAAGAATTTCCAGAGAATAGTACGTCCATCTTTGTGATGCACTCAAAGGAAAGTCATCAAGGCAGAAACTATTCTTCTTAGAATTTGTGGAAGCCTCAGAAAAAGTTGACTTTTCTTTTGTTGGTGCAATGAAATGGAAATTTCTTTCAAATTGCTCCTGGAGAACTTTTTCTTCAGGAAGGTAAGAAAAAGAAAGAATTTAATATAGGTACAGAATGTACAGCCTTATTGACAGTGATTGAACAGAGATAGCACTAGTGATCTATTGCTCACAACCTTAAGAAATAAAACTATTGATGGGTGCCTGTAATTACATTTCAGAACTTTGAAATGTTTGATATCTAAGAAATATGGCTCTTTCACTTTTGAACAATGAAAATAGACTGCAGACTTTTCCATGCAGATGAAAGCTATTATTAAGATTTCTTTTTTAGATATTGAGTCTTGAGGCAACAAGTTAAAGTCTGATTTAACTTTTTTGGCTTTGATTTTGACAATTCAACAATTGTGCTGCCTCTTGGAGAATTTTTGTCTGCTTTCTACACTTGACCGTATTCCTTTTTCCCAATTTATTCTGCAATACTTCATTTCACTTCTGTACGTTCTCATACACTGGACCTAAATGTTGTTGACCTCTTTCAAGGTTTATTATGTATGGAAAATTATGTTCATTTCATCAAATTCCAATAACAATAGAGATCATAAAATGAAATCAGTCTCTTTTGTTTCATATTACTAATCTTATTATTAGTAGCATTTCTGTTTGTTTTTATTATTTTGTCTTTTCAACTTTCAAACAATGATTATGGATTTTTTTTTTTTTTTAACCATTTCATTCAAAGCAAGGGGGTTACTGAGTGTAAAAGATTAAGAAAAAGAAAAAACATTATTAAAGAGTGAGAACAATAAAAGATTTTTGTATTTTCCCTTGTGATATTCCTGCAGTCTTATATTAAGGAGGTGGCCTATTTCTCCTGTATATTACTTGCCACAACTGCACAGGATGGCATACACACAGTTCTTAATCATATTATTCTCTATGGGATGTCTTACACAGAAGAGTAGTTTTGAATCAGCGCATATGCTAGGCTACAAAAATCTCCAAAGCTGGCCAAGCATATATGCATGAATACATTATGGGAACCAGTAATACAGATAGTACAACTGCTGGAATGTTGTAAATATGTCAATAAAAATGAGGGCAACAGTTCAAATAATGTAAATAATTATAATACCTCATCTCAAAAATATAGACAGATATTAAAGGGTTGGTAAGCTGTAAAAAAAACAATCAATTCATCACTTTCTCTCTCTGGTATTTTTAGCATGTGTTGATGGAATCCCATCTATTGTTTATATAGATTCTTTTCCTCTTGTCTGTTTCATTCAAACTTTTTATTCTCTTTTTAGGATGGACAAAATGAAACTGGATAATGAACAAGTGGCTTTGAGAACAGCAGAAAAACTCTTGAAGGTAAAACATTCATTTGTTGTTTTTTCTTAATAATGTTCTGGCCAATATTTTAATGACACTGTTATGCTTTTCTGGTTCAGAGGTTACTTTGAATATTTTCATGTCATTTATGTCACCCCTGCTCTTAAACCGTCCTGGATATGAAGATAAACTACATCCGCATCCAGGGTAAGATGTTAAACTACGTCCAACAGCAAGGCCTCTGACCAGGAGGCTTTGAGGAGTGTGGAACCACCTCTTAATTGCTGATGTTCACAGGTCCACCCTGACCCCGGGGTGGTAGCACCTGTTAGGGTCCCAGCTATGGGCAAATAGTTGACCCCAAAACTGAGGTAAAAAGCATTATGAAAGTGTAAAACTAGGTTTTAATACCAGATATATTTTGTAAAAAAGTTATTACCAGAAATAAATTTTTGAAGAAGGAAAAATATTACCAGCAATACATTTTTGAAAATAATATTACCAGCTATACAATTTTGAGAAAAAAAATATTACCAGAAATAGATTTTTGACAAAACAAAAATATTACCAGGAAAAAAAAAGTTTCAGAAAAAGAACTTTCAGAGGGAAAATTAGCAGGAGATAACTGATAACTGACATCCATCAAACATGGCACGTGGAACTAGAACAGTTTACCCCAGTGATCGAAATAAAGGGTTCAGTTCGAAATTCCAACCACCTGAAGAAGGCCGGAGCGTACAACGGCCGAAACGTTGTGACAAATATGGCGACAAAGATGAGGGCAATAGTCCGACTAATGTAAATACTGAAAAAAAAAAGTTGTTGGTATTAAATGACCCATTGAGTTTGATATGCCGTAAACCAAACCAAACCTGCTCTTAAATAGATTTTATTTTAGGAACTAATAATTGCATAATGTCAACTTGTTTGTTTCATCTATATAAGGCAGATACAAAATTCAAACCCTGACAAAGGGCATATTTTCCTTGTTAAAGTTTCTTGAAAATTCCTGGCTGGTAGATGAAAATTATGCTGTTTAAAAATAGAGATGTCTACTCCAATACATGTATCCACTAAATCTAATGCACATAATAATAACAAATAAATGTATTTGGTCTATTAATTAAAGAAAAGTTTATTTTGTTGAATCAAGGTCTCCTTATTTCAAATGGGTTCATTAACACAAGATGCAAAACTCAGAAGATAAGAAGAATGCAAATAATGTGGTTGCATAATGAATTTATTTGTTTTTATTGAAGTGTGATGTTTTATTTTGTTTGTCAGGTCAGCTTTGGCATACCTGACTGTAATGTCAAAAGTACGCAGCTTTATTCATCTGAGAATACAAGGTTCGCGTAAAGTGTTCTTTTATAGTCCCAGTAAACAGAAATAGCTCTCTCAAAGAGGAGAGTAACGAAACAAGGGGATTAATCATAACACTGACTAAACATGGAATGTCTGCATAAAAAAAGAAGAAATTTGTAAAGACATGCTAATATTGGCTCCATTTGCTTGAATCTGAAATTCCTGTTCTGTGATGTAAAAACAGGTGATATTGAGTGGTACGGGTTGAGTATCCTTTATCCAAAATTCCCAAATCCAAAAACCTCCATGTTCTGAAATTTTTTTCAGATGTTGACAAGACTAGCTACAAATGGAAAATTTCAGAAATCACTGGGAAGGTTCCTGGGTGATGTGCAACTCTTGTAAGTGACCCTCATCTGCCCTGGGTGGGGGTTCCCCAGCCCAGCTACGTAGCCTACGTTGGCACCAGGTTTTTGTTAGCAGCAACACTTTTGTTTATGGATTATTTACCGGGTGTTTTGTGCTCAGTAAAGATATTATTCAAAATCTCCAAATGTTCTACAGATGGGTAGTGAAAAGTAAAAAGAAAGCATTGATGTTTGTCTATATTTTGTACAGGTAGAGAAAGTACATAACATTAGCGAATCTTAATTTCACCATTTAAAAATCTATGGGACTAGCTTCATTACCTGTATCTATCTATATATATATATATATATATATATATACACAAAATTTATTAAACTTTACATAAAACTACTTTCAGGGTATGTTATTTATATAAAACTAACTTCAGGTTAGGTTAAGCTGTGTTATGAAATGTAAAAGTAATATCATATTTATACTTGAGTTCCATTCCTAAGCTGCTCCATTTTAGAGATGCTATATACAAATTAAATAGCCTCTATTTTAAAATCTGCAAACTAAAGCACTTCCAGTCCCAAAAATTTTGGATAAAGGATTCTCAACCTGTACTGCCAGGGTGCTTTGGTTATTGATAATGATATTTCCAGCACTTAAATCATACCTGGCCCCAGGGACATTACCTAATAAATACTTTCTTATGGGTACTGCCATTGTTTTTGTTGTGTGTGGATGTTTCTGACAACCGTTTTTCATTTCCACTATACACTAAATGACTGCATTGCCAAAGGTATCATATAATATGCCTCTTGTATTTGCCACCTTTTTGTCTCTGTTATCTGCAATATTTCTTATTTTTTGCTTTACTGTTTTTTTAATTATTTAACAACAAGCAAGATATAGTGCCCCTAAGACACAAGGAGTTACTGAAAATGAAAGGCTGCAGATGGACAGAAATTAAGACAACATAGAAGAGGAAAGCAAGAAACCAGAAGAGAGTTTCACAGGCAATAAGTGGAAGAGAAGAAACTATTAGAATAGGTTACATTTAGTAATTTTAATAGTAAAATGATGAAACCTAGCTGCTAATTTAGTACAATTTCCATGAAAACAGAAAAGGTACAAGTAAGTTACCTTATGGTTAGGAGAAAGTGATTCAACTTGAGATGACAAGTTAGGATTGATAACATTGCACATTCTTCTTTGGATTTTATCAAGAATCTCTAGAAGAACTAGATCATATCTGACAGCATTATTCAGTGCATGGGCAAATGGTAGACTTTGTTTAAAGATGTTTATGAAATGGGGTGGGAGGTGAAAAGACCAACACTGTGAAGGAGCAGAGTACAACAACAACAACAATAATAATAATAATTGTAATATAGCAACAACTCTAAGTAGAAGTTTATGAACCTTTATTTGACTAATTCAGCTTTAGTGCTGAAAACATTTATTTTATTATAGTGGATGGTTACATGTAAGAGGGTTGATATGTTTTTTTTTTTATTTTATTATTATAACTACAACAACAACTTCTACTATTATTATTTTTTATTATTATTGCCACTATAATGATAATTGGAAAATGTATTAAATAACTCTTATGTGGAAACTTTCTGGTAATTTTAAGACTTAAAAAAATATATGTCCTCCTTTTTGACATCGTAAACTTGTTGAAAATAAGGCGCTTTACCTTTTAAAAGTGCTAACAGTTTTGATTATACATTGTATAGTTTCATTTGAAAATAGAAATGTCTTTATTACAGAGTGAGACATCTGTGATCACTTGTGTATAATGAATATTGACATGTAAGAAAACTTTTGATTTCAAACCATGGCCTTCAAAGTTTTACTGTTTGTTGTTTCCAGGTAAAATCAGTCGAATTCAGCAAAAGCAAATATCAATTTCAGAGAGCCAATGAGAGATGGGGAAAAAAATGCCAATTTGAAGCCAGAACAAATTCTTTTCTCTTTTTTTCTCCTTTTTATAAAACCTGTACGCTTGTTTTATCCAGACACTGTTGATGCTAATTATTCTCAAGATATGATGAGAATTTTTAGATAACTTTTCAAGATTTTTCTAAGCAACTGCCAATGGAGGTTATAAAGTAACTTCCATCAATCCATCTTTGCTAGTAGGGGATAAATATATATATATATATATATATATATCCACAAATATTTTTTTATTGCCATTATATTTCTTTTGTTTGTCTAAATGCGAAATCACTTTTTTGTTTTTAAGGAAGTGAAACCTCGCAATGGAAATATTCGTTTGCAGCTGATGGAAAATATGGTGTTGGTTGCATCAAAGACTAAATCAAATGTGGAGAAAGCATTGACAAGTTTTATGGAAGTCGCATCCTTACAGGTATATTTTCTTCCTTTTTTTTTTTTTTTTTTTTTTCTTGGTAATTAAATATTTTTTCTTTTCGGCTCTGATATATTTTTGCTTTGATACATCGTGTTTCTGGCTTAACTGACAATAAATGCAGCAAGTCTTTTTTTGTATCACCAATTCAGGTGGTTGCCTGTTGTAAAAAACATTCTCAAAAAAAATTGGACCTAGTGCTTTTGTACGGCCATGTTTAAGATACCAATCCCAAAGGATCCATTTTCTGTTTTCTTTTCAATTCTTTTCTGGAATCTGGTCCTGTCATCAATATCACCTGTCAAACTGTGACAGCTTCTTATTTCCACTTTGCAAATCATATTGTACTTCTCTGGTGTGAAAGTTTTACATTTTTATAACTCTGATTCTTAAATAAAGAACATTGTTATCCATACCACTAAGTTGTATTAAGGAGATTAGCTTCCTGCTTGCTTGTAAAAACAGCAGGAGAACAACAATGGGAGAGGTGTGGGGGGGACTTAGCTTTCTCTTTTCACATGACAAAACGAAATTAAAGTGAAAGAGCTGTTATTCATAATTTTTATTTTATTTTTTTTGTCATTTTATTGTCTCTATTTATTCTGTGACAGACTGGCAGAAGACTTTTATAAGTAGCTTTACTTTTTTTTCTGCTTCATATTTGTGGCATCATAAAGTGTAGGATTCAAGAAGGAAATATTTCTTAACGGAATCTGAAAACTTTTGACACTTGTTGGTTCCCACCACTGTTTTTTTCCCCTTCTTTTACACAATCACCAATTTGCAAGGAACACCTGTGTCTGAAAGCAAGGATTTTTGTTATTTGATGAGTCTTTTTTGTTTGCTTAGATTATTCTAAGATTAAAATGTATACTTGGTATTCTGTCGTGAACAAAGAACATGATTTGTTAACTGAGCATTTACAGGTGGTTTTCAAATAAATTCATTTTGAAGAAAATTTTCTTGTATGAAATCCACAAGGATCACTCTGAAAGTAATGTACCTTAATTTATTTTCTTGGATCCCAACATCAGAGCTCAATGATGCTGATTTGGCAGTAGAGATTGAACCTTCCTGCCAAAAACCGCTTTTTTTTTTTTTTTTTTTTTTTACCTTATTACTGCTTTATAGTAGTCTGGCACAATGACATCTGATATGAAAGTGTAGATGATGCAGATGTGTGTCATTGTAGAAAGAATTTCATTGATTGATATTTGTCAATGTTTTCTGAATGTTTATGGAGACCAAACAGTGTCTGTGTGAACAGCTGTGCAGTGGATAATTTGGTTCTGCAGTGGAAACAGTGATGTGTACATCAAGCCACATTCTGTATGATCCTGTACAACCATTATCTCAATGAAATGAACAGTGCCTAAAAATGATGATGGCTATATGAGAGAAATAACATTTTGTAGTTGAGAACTTGCTCCATCCGTTTGTGTTATTGTGCCCCCAGTATCTATTTCTGTTTCCCTGGAAATCAACCAGAATTATTTTCTGAGACTATCTCCTAATTTAAACAAAGCAAAGATGATCTGTCAAACATATTGAGAATTTATGCCAGAGGATATGAGTAAAGATAAATACAGTGTTGAAAATACAAGTTCTTATTTAGTACTACTTAGTTATTTAGTACTACTTAGTTATTCTTGAACTAATGCTTTAATCCACTAGGCTATCATCTGTGAATTTGGTAATATATTATGAGTTCAATCCTTGGGCAGAGCAGACTTGAAATCAGTGGAAATGGGGCTAGCAATAACTGACAAATACTAAATAAGAACTAGACAAGGCATCCTTAGATATGGTCAGCAGAACAAGAAAATCTACCCTCATAGATTGAATAAAGGGATCAGTTTGAAATTTCCTGCAAGTTACCCAAATCAACATGCATGAAGGCTAAGGGGCACAACAGCTGAAACATCATGATAAAAACAACAAAAATGCAGAAAATAGTCTGAGTATAAATAATGATAATTCTACAGAATCCCAGAAATTCAGACAGAAGATTTTGTGGTCATTGAACATTTTCAAAATTTCTTTTTGATCTTTTTTTCATCATTTTGCAATGATCCAATCAATCTTATGTCAAGATAAAACCAAAAAGAATTCTGTTGCAAAAGTCTTAATGACAAATTTATTCTTCATTTTTTTTATGTCCAAATTGTTTCTGTGAATGCAAAAAAACACTTTTAAGTAAATTATTTCTTCCCTTTTTATTTCCCCAGAAAGACAATGTAGGCGCACTGTATGGAATGGCCACAGCTTATATGGTCCAGAAACAAGTACCAAAAGCAAGAAATCAACTGAAGCGAGTTTCCAAATCAAACTGGACTCTAGAAGTACTGATCAGTTATCTATTTCTTATTCTTTTTACTGCTATTTTTTTTTGATTGATCAAAATGAAACCTTTCCCATAAAACAGAAATCAATTCATGGCATTTGATCATTTTCTTGTCTAGATGTTGATCATACACAAGCACTGTCATTAGAAAACAAATAGGTTGGTATAGTGTTGTCATTTATTAAAAGAAACATTTATAACAAAGAAGGGAATTAACAAAAAAATATATATATTACTGTAAAAAGCTAAGCTGGTTTATGGGTCCACTCTCATCAGAGCAAAAATCAAGTGATGGCTGGTAGGGCTTAATGTACATTTCTAAATGATAAATAGTATTATTATTACTCAGCACTGAAAACATATCTAGGCTACATGACTGAGCACATTGCTTGTTTTTAATGAAATATTGAACTATTGTTGAACCTGATATTTAATGCAAATTATCCACTTATACCTTACAAATATTAGTCAGAACGTGTTGGATGGCCATTGCCTCCAACCTCTGGCCCATTCTGCCTATACAGTTAGCTTAACACTGATATTTGAATTTATAGAACCAATATGATAGGCAGAACATGTTTAACTGTTTTCAATCATTATATTTTTGTATTATCAATTTACTGTACCATATATACAGTCCCCTCCAAAAGTATTGGAACAGCAAGGCCAGTTCCTTTGTTTTTGTGGTTCAGTAAAGACATTTGGGCTTAAGATCAAAAGATGAATATGAGATAAAAGTTCAGAATTTCAGCTTTTATTTCCTAGTATTTATATTTAGATGTGTTAAACAACTTAGGACATACCACCTTTTGTTTGAACCCACCCATTTTTCAAGTGAGCAAAACTATTGAAACACATGACTGAGAGGTGTTTCTTGTTGCCCAGGTGCTGTCTTTTAGATTGATTGTTCAAACATTAAATAGCTCTGAATGACTGCCCTTGGTTTTAAGCCTTGGATTTCACTTGTAAAGTCTGCATTTCTTGTCAAAAAGGATAAACCAATGTGAAGATAAGAGAGCTGTCTATGGGAGAAAAGCAAGCCATTTTGAAGCTGAGAAAAGGAAAATCAATAAAAAAAAACTGGACAAACATTGGGCATAGCCAACAAAACAATTTGGAATGTCCTGAAAAAAAAAAGAAACTAGCAACAAACATAGAACAGCTCAGCAAAGGAAAACAACAGAAGTTTATGACAGAAGCATTGTGAGATCTTTGAGGAAATCCCCCAAAACAAAAGTCAGTGACATCAACAGCAACATCCATAGTGCAGCGATGAAGGTTTCACAATTCACTGTTTGAAGAAGACTTTGAGAGCAGAAATATAGAGGTCATACCACAAAATGCAAACCATTCATCAGCAGTAAGAATCAGAAAGCCAGATTGGATATTTGCAAGGAAGTACAGAGATGAGCAACAAAAGTTCTGGAAGAAAATTTAATGAACTGATGAGACCAAAATTAATCTCTACCAAAGTGATGGAAAGAAAGAAAGGATCTGCTTATGATCCAAAACATACAAGCTCATCTGTGAAGTATGGTGGGGGTAGTGTCTTAACTTGGGTTTAGAATGGCCACTTCTGGAACAGGTTCATTCATATTTATTGATGATGTAACTCATGATGGCAGCAGCAGAATGAATTCAGAAGTCTACAGAAATATTTTGTCTGCCAAATTACAGAGAAATGCATCCAGACTAATCAAGAAGTTTATCATACAACAAGACAATGACCTAAAACATACTGCCAACATAACAAAGGACTGGCCAGGTCAGTCACTGGACCATAACACAATAGAGCATGCATTTCATCTCCTGAAGAGGAGACTGAAGGAAGAACTGCACCCCCCCCCCGCCACGAAAACAAACAAGACCTGAAAGAGGCTGCGTTAAGTCTGAAAAAGCATCACAAAGGAAAAATGCACAGTTTGGTGATGTCAGTGGGCCACTGGCTTGATGCAGTTATTTCAAGCAAAGGTTATACAACCAAATATTAAGTGTTCTCTTTACATTAAGACTAACTGTTCCTTTGATTTTGTTCACCACAAAACAGGGTGACCTGATACAAAAGGTGATATTTCCTAAGCTGCTTAACACGTCTCAATGTTAGTACCAGGAAACAAAAACTGAAATTCTGATATCTTGTCTTATATTCCTCTTTTGATCTTAAACCCAAATGCCTTCAGGTAACAACAAAAACAAAAGAATTGGCCTTAGCATTCCAATACTTTTGGAGGGGACTGTATTTTATGTTATCCCACTTTTTTGTTATGAGTGTTTTTTTACTGTGAATGTCTTTATTGCTCTAATAAAACTTTTATTTTATATTTGGCTTTATGAAAAATATTTTAATTTTTGACTGAGCCTTTACTCTGAAGCTTATTTCATGAACACTTCTAAAGCACACCAGTCACTTTACTAATGTAAAATGTTCCAGGAATTAGTACTCTAGATTCTTCTTCTTCTATGTGTCATGATCATGGCTCTCCACAATTTCCTGTCTCTCATAGCTCTTAATAAATTTTGTCTTTTTGTTATCTCTCCACCATCCTTTTACTCAAGCTCAGCAAGTAGGTTACGCATTGTTTTCCTCTGTTCCTCTTGCCTTCAGTCTATCTTGTGAGCCTCAAATTTTCCAAGCCCTCTTTCCACATTATGTGCACTAGAAATTTCAGTTGTCTCCTCCTGATTTTAAATATAAGTTTCCTTTTTGTTTCCATTTTCTCTAAAACTTCTTTCTAAAACAGAAAATATGATCTGGAATTGGAATGAAATCATTGATAGCACTGACCCTGAATCATTATAAAAATTCAAGATGTGAAATTAGTAAATTCCAAACACTTCAAATACCGCAGTGCATGGATCACTTTTAACAAATTTAGTATAGGAGATAAGGAAATTGAACATAGAATAGTGTGTGCTTGGTGTAGTTTCAACCAGATGTTACAAAACATTAACCTAAAACCTAGAGTCAAGTCCTGAAATAGCCTTGTCAAGTGAATGAACCCTGTAGGTTTTAGAGAGGACTGTCCTCCTTCGAACCTTTTTGACTGGTGTTAAAGAATTACAAAGCGAGAATTGTGCCAAATAACGGAAAGCTCATTTGAAGATTTGCAACAGGAGCAACAACTAAAATGGATAGCGCATGTTACTCAAAGAGTAAATAGCAACATAATCAAGATACTGACATTTCACACTAGTTAGGAAGGGAGCCCTCATCAATACTGAGAAGAACAATAATAGTAAGTGGACTTGTAAAACCTATTTTCCTGAAAAAGTATTTTAATAGAAAGATTTGATAAATTTCAACCAACAGTAGCAATAGCTGCTTGGTCAATGAATGCAAAAAGTTTCCTTATAAGGAAACAACTAATACTACCATTAGAGATGAAAACAGATTCTACACTTTGAACCTTGTTTCAATGACCAGTGAGTGAAAAAAGTGTAACTCAAGTAGCATTGGCTCTCAGTGGATGCTGAATTTTTCCACATAAGCAAATGTCTAATATTACCAGTTCTATTGAGTTGTACTTTTTCTTTCAGATGTTTTCAGAAAGGATACAAGTATGGAGGTTGTGGCAGCTTTGTGGCATTATTTTAAACTGGGTCCCAAAGCTGCTGAAGTTGTAGTGAGTCCTGGTAATAAAATAAAATATGCAAATATATAAACAAAAAAAAAAAAAAAGAATTAAAATTAAAATAAGGCATTTGTTTTCCTTTAAAACTCTTATTTCTCTCTCTAAACTTCTCTCTCAACTAATGAGAAAGCAACCCTCAAATAAAAAGTGGAAGAAGGAAAGACTGAACCAGGCCACAAAATGGTGGAAGTTTGCTGGCACATTGTCTATCCTTTTGTGACCAGAAATCTACTAAAAATCAAAGAGGTTCCACGCATGACTTCCACTATATTAAAAAAAAAAATGAAAGAGAAAGGAACACCAAAAATAAAATAATTTGGGCCAATCAAAATAAAAATTAACAGAAAGAGACTTTTGATGTTAACCAAAACCAAGCTTCGCGACAGTAGTCTGGGAATCTTGACTAAAAGGATATAAATTGACACTTGAGAGACAGAAGAAGAGAATGGGCCACCAGAAAAACCAGCCATGCATTTCGCATGAAAAAGTTAATAGGTCATCTGCTTAAGACATTTTTCTGTCTTGCTTAGAGTCAAAAAAGGACAGTAGATTGATGTCATATCTATTCCTAACATGACAACTACTACCAAGGTCTGACTTCTAAACTCTCAACTACCGAGAAGAAACAAACTTTTTTTCGACTGCTGCCAAGATCTGACTTATAAACAAACTTTTATTACCCTGAATCACAAGGGACTCACTCCAATCTAAATCAAATAAATAAATATATATTTACTTATTTCATACCTTTGAGTCTTTTGTTTATTCTAATGTTTCTGGTAAAGAAATACCAAGAACACTCCAGCACATACCCACAAAGTTACAAACATGTTTTAGGAAGTGGAAACAAGATCTGTACAAAACTCATTTAAATATTTTAAGGGTGGTGTTTTTTTATTTTTATTTTTTTTATTTAATCATTTCACACCATGCAAGGTGATAAAATCACTAAGATGTGGGGAGGGGATTACTGAGATAGAAAGAAGCAAAGACAATAAAAGAGCAGGATACAAGGAGGCAGTAAAGGAGGATTGACGTTAAAATTTTGGAAGATCTTATTTAACAGGGAAGCAAGAAGTCCGAAGAAAGTTCCACAAGCAAGAAGTGCAAAAGAAGGAACTATTAGCATAGAACTTACAGCGACATGTAGCAATTTCAACCTATCTACCAATCTAGTAATGTACTTAAATTTGTGAAGTTAAGGTACCAATGAGGAAAACTCATCAGAACAATTACCATGGAAATGTTGATAGAAAAGACAAAAGGAAGCTATGTCACAGTGATGCATAAGTGACTGAAGCCAAGATGCCAGATCAGGACTGATAACTGTGCAGATTCTTCTTCAGATTTTGTCAAGACTCTCTAAATATATAGCAGAAGTAGTAGACCAGATGTGGCAATGATATTCAATGCATGGATGAATGGTAGACTTATAAATGTGCAAAGTAATAATTGGCTGTACTAAACCTCATGTTCAGTGATTTTTCTGCTCACCATACTATACTAGGTCTGTCTGGAATGCATCCAGTTATTTAATATTAACAGCAAAAGAAAATATAGCCAACTTAGAGCAATGGCATCTCACACTTTTATCTCAGTGCCCTTTCCACTTCACAGGTCATTTTGCAAAATCGTTTTTAGCATTGACGTAAGTTTCCTTGTATTCTCAATTTCATCCGTGGTCTGAAAGCTCCTTTTCTACAACAATTTTGGCCTTGGGAAGCCAAATCTGAACTATAGGAGGCTGACATACTTGGGTGTGATGCAATGTTGTCCAAAAAAAAAAAAAAAAACCTGTATAAGATATGAAGAATTGTCAGGTGCCTTGTCATGATGTATGATGGCAACGCAGTACACAGACTGACTGAGTAACCTCATGGGAGAGTGCCTTTCCATGCATATGTAGTAATGTCTCCTCTGATTGGTAACCAGATTATTTAAATGCTGTGTAACTGGCTCTTGAGATATTCAAAATCGTTGAATACTTTCCGGACAAACCTCATATAGTCTTTGATGGATGAAAACTGATTTTTAAATCGAATATGTTTTAAGATAGCTGAAAAATATTTTCACTTTGCTGTTTATTTTTCTTTTTGTAAAAACATTAGTTAATGTCTAAAAAAAAAAAAAGAAACAAAAAAAACTAGAAACCGATAAATCCCTGAGAGTTACATAATAGAAAGAAAAAGCAAAACACTATCACTCTACGTCTGTTGAATTGAATGAAAAATACAATTGTATCCAAAATGGCAGATGTGGGAATCTTTGCCTTTGATAGAAATTTCTCTCTGTGTGGGATTTACCCCCCACCTTCGCTCTCCAAACTCCAAGTTTTTCAACAATTCATGCATTTACTCAATTGAGTTATTCTGTTTTTTGTTGTTGTTGCTTTTATTGCTTTTCAAGTTTTGTCGACATTAAGTAATTTTAAGAGAGAATAAAATCTGCTATGTTTTCTTTTCAATGTTCTCCTTTTTCCATTGTAACAAGCAGCGAATGATTCAGTCTTTGCTAAGCTTGTAAAATGGGTAGAACTTTTTATATTAAATATTGTAAAACCAACAACAACAACAAAAAAAAAATATTGCAAAATACTTCAGCTTGGAGAACACTGAAATAACAGGGAATGAAAACTAATAGAAACATTGCTGATGTAGGCACATCAATAAGTTCGTAGCCTAATGAAGAGAAAGAAAAAAGAATTTACAACATAATCTCCTTTCTTGTCAGTGCACTTAATTCAGTAACATATATATTAATTGCATAGATCAAACATTATTCACTGAAAATTTCAGATCAAAATTCAGTTAATAACTACATCTCAGCCTTTTTTTCCTTAAATAATGTTCATTCAATACAAGGCTCAAGATTCGCTCAAGGTTGAAATAGTTATAATGAATGATGTGTATGTGTGTGTGTTATAAATGTAAGTAGGTGATGGGGGCAAAGATTATGAGGATAGGTAACGATTGACTTTGATTTGAAGAATTTTAGATTGTAGGATTCAGAGAAGCACCCACGTGGGAGTCTGTTCCACAAAGTAGCAGTTCTTGGGGAAAAAGCTGAGTGGAACTTTTTCCTTACAGTTGGAATGCAGAGGAAATGTGGATAATTCACTTCAGTGTGCCTAACATGGCAACAAACATATTGATCCACCCTTCTATTATGCAGGAGTATAAACAAGGAAATTCAAAGGAAACTGATTTGCATGATGTTACTGATAAAATGTTAAAAAAATTTGTTTTATTTTTTACAAACTTGATCTTAACTTTAAAAAAAAACAAAACTTTCTTTTATATTTCAGGATGCGGAGGATTTAGAAAAGAGTTGGTTGCTCTTAGCAGACATTTACATTCAGGTAAAGGCAAAATTCTTATTGGGTGCTTCTTTATTGTAGCCTTGTGCCAGACTAAGCTCAAGTATTCCTTCCTTAAAATCACTGGCAACTCAAATACATTCTTACATATTTATCCACTTCCAAAAGTCTACTGCTTTGCATAAAAGAGGGTACAATGGCCAAAACATGATAGTAACAACAAAGATGAGGACAATAATCTGAATGTCAATAGTGTAAATAAAGATGAATAAAGATAATTTACCTGAAATTTCGAGAGCATCAATGCAGATTTCAAGAACATGTCTCTTTTTCAGAATTCTAGACAGAACCAAAATAAATGGTGGCGTTCATAATTTTTTTATTGAAAGACATAAACGATACTTTGACCAAAATAAATTGTGTTTCTTTTGAATGTTTTATTTCAAAGTTCTCTTTAATTCATTATTTGTAACTGGATTTTATTTTCATATTTCTCTACAGGTGTTATGAAATAAATAAGCAATACCTCATGTAAATATTTAAGCCCAAGTATTTTCTGTTGGATAATACCAGTGAAAGTATAAAGTGATGTTGAAATATAAGCATGTATGTGATTATATCGATTAAAACTCACATCGAGTATGAGACATAACTATCAGTGTGTATACTGTGGCTTAATATTACACATGGTTTGTTCATTTTCTAGTCAAGGCTTCTCGCCACATGACATTGAAGCACCAGTTCCCATACAGTCACTAAAGTTAAGCAGTAAGTAGATAGATGACCATATGGGAAAACCAGGTGCTGTATGCTTGGATGTGTGGGAGGGGGTGTAATGGTTAATGGCTTGGAATTGTTAATTGGGGAGCTGAGTTCCAATTCCAGTTGGGTCCTTTATATTCTCTTGTGCGCAAATACCCTTGAGAAAGGAATGAATGAATCCACCTCTTCTCCCCAACAGCTATGGGTTAATTAGTAGGATTTGTGTCACTGAACAATTATTATCTCAAAAATAAAAATAAATTCTTACAATCTAAAAAAATATTTTCTGTCTTTAAATAACCTGCCTAGAACATGAGTCAATAAACAAAAAATTGTCAAGTGGAGGAAGCTAGATGGTGTGAATTCATTCAATTCATTCTGTCTGAATTTCTGGAATGGGGACATATAAATATTTACACTATTTACATTTGGGCTATTGTCCTCATCTTTATTGTTGTTATCCCAACATCTCGGCTGTTGTGCTCTCTGGCCTTCATTAGGTGTATGTTGACAACAGGGGTGAGCAATAACTGAGTAGTATTAAAAATAAGAAGCCATCACAGACCCTAAATAAGAACAAAGACTACTTCACACTCTATAAATATAAACAGCTGATTCAATGTTACACCAAGCTACCACATAAGGTATGGTCTCCTCAAGATTCACAAAGTTGATATTCCATTGAGATCTATAGTCAGGTGCAGGGGCTCAGCATGCCACCCACTCATCAGATTCTTAGTGGATATAGTCAAGTTACTAACAGATAAATCCTATGTTAGAAACTGATAATATTTAGTGTAACAGATCCAAAGGCCACCCATCCATAGCAATCGGATGGAAAAATTGGATGTCACAAGCCTGTTCATCAGAGCTCCTAGCTGAAACCCTGAATGTGGTTTGAAACTGATTGGAATCAGACCCCCTCCTCCCTGAGAGAACATACTAACATCCCAATAGATAATCTGATGAAAATGTTGAAGTTCTTCTGTGTACAGACAACATTCTTCCAACTAGACTGACATATACCAAAAGAAAGAAGGCTTGGCTGTGCCTTCACCATTGTCATCTGTGATGGTGAACATATACATGGAATACTTTGAGAAAATGGCTTCAGGAACAGCAACACTAAAGCTAACAGTATTGCTGAGATACATAGATAACACATTCATAAACTGGATGCACCAGGAAGCTGTACTGCCGGACCTTGTGAATCCTAAAAGACCTTCAATCCCTTTCACAAAAGAAGAAGAGAATAATAATAATAGTCATCTAGCCTTTCGAGAGAATATGTTCAAAACATCTGTATATCAAATGGCAACCTTCACTGGATAATATATCAACTTCATTTCCAGTCATCCATAGTGTGAAGAATAGGATCATTCAATGACTATAACACTGGGTAAAAAGTCATAAGTGGTGACCCAGGCACATACCAACAAGAAAGGATCAGCATCAAATGTACCCTTCAGAATGACAACTATCCTAAAAACATAACAGTATCTACTTGTGGGAATAGAAGAGTCAAGGAGGAAGACCAGAAAATTGACATGGTCTGTCTCTCAAGGGCTTATTGGAAAAGATCCAGAATATCTGTGTTTCATAAAACATCAAGACAATATTAAGAAGCAGTTAGACTCTATGGAGAAATCTCTGCTGAGTAAAGCCTGACATAGAGGAGAACATGACTAAAAACTGTATGGGATTCCTTGAAACAAGCCCCCTCCCTAAAAGTAAAGGTGGAGGAATATTAAAAAGCTGTGGTGAGACAATGAAATTGAGCATGATTGAATATGCATGGAGGTAGTCATCAGCAAGAAGTAAAAATACTAAACAAGGAAAAACACTGGAGAGTTAGACATCTAAAAGAATCTGCCTATATGCTAGGCTATGAGGAGCTCCTTAGTAGGCCTAGCATAGAAATAAATACAATATGGGAGCCAGTAATAAAGAAAAAAAAATGACAAATGAGTGCAACTCATCATCAGCAGCAGAGAAACCGAACAGGCAGCAACAGTAGCAGCACTAATCAGCAGGCAGGTTAGGTATAAGTCTCTTAAGTTCACTGCAGAGAATTGTCCTATGGGACAACAGCCTAATGGATTAAAGCATTGCTCATGAATTTGGTGACATAGTAATTGTGAGTTCAATCCCTGGGCTAGGCAGTATGCACTTGGACTCAGTGGAAACAGGGTTAGCAATAACTGAGTAGAATAAAAACCAGACAATATATCTCTAGACATGGTTATCTGAAGACATAGTCAATGACAGTTTAAAGGGTTAAAGATAAACCTGATGAAGAGCAGAGAGCACAACGGCCAAAATGTTGAGATAACAACAAAGATGTTCTGAAATCTGAATCTAAATTGTATAAATCAATGATTCTTACATCACATGAATCATTCATACAAAAAACAGATATATAAGTTAATGATTTAAATGGCGGGAATACATCTTCGCAAACAATTTTAATAGAGTACATTAATCCCGAACCCCTAAATGAATGTTATGATCCCTGTTTGTAAATTCCAGTTGCATAAGGTCTTTTTAGTTTTTTACAAGCTTTCGTCTGTTCCTACAGACATCTTCAGGTATGGGAATAGATTTGTTTTTTACTTCTCGGTAATAAGAGGACAATGAAAATATAGATGTAATCCGAAAAGATGTTTTTAGAAATGTGTTATTGTTAATTGTAAGGAATTTTTGGGGAGCGTGCGGTCACAACTCTGCGGTTGAATTTTTAAATTTTAAGATTGTGCGTTTTTGTAGTAACATGGTAATAGGAGAATTCTTTTGTACTGGTAGGTTTTTCAGTCGATGTGGTATGAACTAAATTGTTCAATAAATACAGGAATGTCAGAGTTATTATCTGAAAGTTGCACGTCGGATCAGTTATTTTAATATCAAGTATGTGGTGCATGAACTGCACAACATACTTGATATCAATGATTCCTGTTGACTTAAGAGAAGAGCTTGAGTTCCAGTCTGAATAAAAGTCACCCCGTTGAAAATTATTACCGACATTATATTATTTATTATAAAGAGCTCACTGGCATATTAGCAAGTGAAGCTAGAGGGTCTTGACAACAATCATCCTACTTTGAATATCGTGAACTGGTGTTACAGAATCGCAAAGAAACAATATCATAGCACCATAATTAAAATGGTTAGCATATGTAACTGAAAGAGAAAATGACAAAATCAAGATGTTGACATTGCACACTACTTTAAATAAAAGGTTTGGAAGGAAACTTCATCAATATCTGGAAGAGCAATAAAAGCTACTTGAAAAACCTATTTTCTTGAAAAATTGTTTTAAGGTACAAGGTACAGGAAATTTTAAGAGTTATAATAGCTCATGTCCTGAAGAGACAATAATAATAATATTTTCATTTGAGTAAGTAAGAATAATATGGAGTCAGGCTAAGGTAGACGTGTTTCTATCTGGTCATTGCAACAGTTCTTGTCCAATTTTCATCATTAATATAAAATGACCACAACTTGACACTGGTTTTTGTTTTGGTACCAATTGGTCAGTTGCTAGTCAGGCTTTGTTGAATGTTAATATTTTGTCTACAAATGAATGCCTTAAAGATGGAGAATAAAATGTTGCTCTTTTGCCGTATTATGCTCTATGAATTGCAAAAAGGAGTAGGCATTGGGACTGTGACTAAAAACATTTAGAAGGTTTATTTGAATCATGTCCCAACTCTTGGGATGAGCAAAAAGTGATTTGGCAGATTTTGCCAGGGTGAATTTAACCTAACTGATCAACCATGCTTCAAGCAACCTTCCAACATTGATGAAGATGCTCTGGTTGCTAGTGTGGAGAATAAACAGAAGATTTCAATTGAAGAGATCACTAAGAGTCTGAACATTGATATCACAACTGACTTTCGCCAACTGAAGAGACTTGTATTCATTTCCAAGTTCCAAACTTGACAAGTGGTTATCACATCCTCCAGCAGAACAGAATAAGATCGATCATGTGTCTTTGGTAATTTCTTTGCTGTTATGTCACATAGGGAGCTATTCTTGCACAGAATTGTCACAGGCGATAAAAAAATGATAAAGTTCAACATAAATGGAGATGGAAAAAAGCTTGCAAATATGCAGAACCCATGGCTAAAGTGGGATTGCATTCAATGAATGTGTTGTTGTCTGTTTTGGAAAATTCACTTTGAACTTCTTCCTGTCAGCAAAACAATAACTGCAAAGAAAGTATTGCAACCAACTCACCAATCTCAATGAGAATATTAAAGAAAAATACACAATTTTGGCAAATTGAAAAGTCATGTTTTCCACCACAAGAAGTCCACATGTTGCAAAACAAACTTAGAGTTGAAATGGGGAACCCTCCAGCAGCCAGCGTATTCACAAAAAAAAACAGTTTCTATGAAGATGGCATTAACAAACTTGTAGAATAATGGGAAACATTTGTTAAAAACAATGGCGACTATGAAAACTATGTACTTAACTAATAAATGATGTTTTTATGAATATGTAAAATTTTGTTTCAAATTTTATAATTGGGCTCAAACTTTTGCAAGGATCTAATACAAGGTAAAATTACCGATGAAAGTGAGTGCTGCTAATAATACAAGAGGAGCGATCAATATATAAGATGTAGATTGTTTGGGTTTTTTTTTCCATTATTTGGGGCAAGAAAAGTGCATTATATGTACCACCAAATACAATAATTTCAGATAAAAAAAATTTAAGCACAATTTTAAATTCGCTATTCATGATAACTGAAGAGGTAAAATATTTCCGGACAAAGCTGCTTTGTTTATAACTGAATATCACATTTAAAAATACTTTATTCTGTTACACACAAACAGAGCATTAATGTCAATTTGAATTGGTCTGTTATTCTAAGTAATAAGTGAAATAATTGTAACTTTCAACTCTTGTAATCACCTGTACATTAACCAGTTCAATCCTGACTTAAGTAACATTCTCTTGCTGACAATTCATCTTTCAGTTTTAGCATAGCCACTTTCAACAGTTTGTCGCTGTACTTTTCTTTTGTGACATTGAAATAACAACTCAAAATAACAAGCAGCTTCTTGTCCTTTAGGGGTGAGATCAGCTTTATCTTCAGTCAGGAGGGTGTGCAAATATGAAGTAGATATGCCTGGTCCCTGGAGATTCCAACTCTCGGGCAGAACCTTCCCATTACACTAACAAGAGAGTCATAGCTGATTCTTCACTATTCACGTTTCTTCCCAAATGCTTTTCAAAGTCTTTACACTCTGTGTGTTATAAAACAAATTTGGCTCTTTTTCCTTTGACAAATGATATTTGAAAGATATCATATAAACCCTATTTTATAGTATATTATATATACTCCATTCAATTATGGGACCTTTAACGAACCCAATATTAATTTTGAATACTGGCATTAACATTTTTCTCTCTGAATGTTCCTTCTTTTGGGCCATGTCATACATGTCCCTTTGCCATCAAATATGATGATCTATATTGTTAATTTTTTTCTTAGCTTTATTTTCAATCAAGTGATTTCCTTTTCTATTGTTTTCAGTCTAGTAAATACGACATGTCAAATGAACTCTTGAAAAAATGTCTCCAGTACAACAAGGTGAGTTGACAATAAGAGCTTTTTTTTGAAAAGTCCTTAGAATTTACTGTAATTTTTTTTTAATTTCATGCTGGTAGAAAATGACAAGTGTAAAATAATTTTTTAAGAAAGAAAGCAAAAGAAATCTAAAACATGCTAAATGCACTTTTGAAATGAATTATCACTTTAAAATGATATTATAAAAACGACTTGCATTTACTGCAATTTATATTCTGATCTCATGTGACTATCTATGCAAATGATAAAACAATATATGAGTACATGAAAAAATCTAGATGACCAGAGCCTGGCAACTGATCTCTCCTCTGACCTAACTTTAACAATTCATGGGGGGTGGCTGGTTGCATTCAATAGAAACTTGTAATGTTTCATCATCACTAAGCAGCCCTTGAAATTATGTTTCATCGCAATGAATGGGTGTTGTCTCATAGAGGTTCCTTGTCTTGAACGCCTGTTAGAATTTAAGCACATTCCAGACCTCAAGTGAAACTTGTATATACAATCCATAACTAAAGATGCTGAAAAATATGATCAGTTCATTGTACAACTCCAGTAAGTACCCCATTCCTTCTGCTATTCTCTAAATTTATAAGAACCAAATCAAGCGAAAAATGGAGTACTCTTGCCATATTTGGCCTGGATCTGCTTAGTCTTTACTTTCCAATCTTGATAGTGTCTACACGTCCTTGTGGGTGATGGATTATTTTCCAATTGTTCAGAATCATTGAAACCAAAAAGAATTAACTAAGAAAATTAATAGTCTGCAAGACAAACATGACTTCCCAGAATTTGGGTGCTACTTTTGACGCATCCAATATTTGTGTAAATGTAGCTGTTATTTTTTACAGAAGCTTTCCAAGATTGGAGCACACTCAGTTTGTGAAAGGATACACCTAAAAATACAGAATTTCAATGTGGCATGTGAACTGTTCATAATTACACATTACACAGCTTGGTGTTATGCATTAACACTGTTCTAAGATTGATTGATTTTTTTCCTGCGGCTTTCTCTGGTGCTTACAGGCATGTCTTGCAATTTTTGTGAGGGCTGATAAAAAAAAAAAAAAGACGAGAAAATATGAATGGATTTTTTTGTTTCTTTTTGGGAAAACTGCTGCCGGGACTGTTGAAATTTTTCAGGAAGTTTTTTCTGGACAAAGCTTTAGGTAAATTACAAATGTACAGGTCATATTTATGTTTGTAACGTGAAAATTTCACTTATAAGCTAATTACAGTTTGGCCAGACTTTGACAAAATGACAAAAATCTTGGAAAATTAAACCATGCAATGAACATTGTCATTGGACTATTGACAAGACATTTGAGATGATTGGTTTGTTTTGGAGTTCACAACAGTGAACATTAGAATTTGCAAGTGAAATGTGTTTCTGTAAAACTTGTTTGCTCACAAATGATAAAAGAAATCAGTCATTTGAATATGTGTCACATCTATGAGCGAACAAATTTGAAGTGACCAACACTTTCTTTTCAAACTTGTAACGAGATGACGTAATTTTTGTTATTTTTGTGGGTGTCACATTGTATAAGTATGTCTAATCTGATCTTCAAAAGCTGAAAGCTATGCATACTATGAGATACTATTGGATCGGTCAGGGAATTTAACCATGACAAAATAGTAATTTACCCTAATACCTAATTTCCACTATCTTCTTCAAAATATGATTCTTTAGCCAAGTCTCAGAAAAGATGGTCACGTTACTCCATGTGGTTCATGTGTGTTGTTTAAATTCACTAAACTTTGGGATAGCACTTGTTGTGAAGAATTGTAGATTTCAGTGAAGTTTGTATTTGTATTTCATTAAGTTCCTGTGGTTTTCCCACTTAAAATACCTTAGAATTGCTGATAACATATGTAAGTTAATTTCCACAGTTCACAGCCAACTCCTGTATGTTATTGGCCTTAAAGAATAAATAATAAAAAAAAAATGGACAAATTTTAACAGATGTGTCCTAAATACAGAAAATATATTAAACCATTACTTTTTCCATAATGAGAAGGTAATAAATAAACATGTTTACTTTTTAAATTGAACATATTCAAGGAAATTGGGGCAGCAATAGTTTGAGTTTAATAACTTTTGGAGCATAAATTTTGTTTCTTCTAAATTTGTACAAGTACAGACACTATAATAATGATATGCAATTATTATTTTTCTCTTCTTTTTTCTATTAATTGCTTAAATTTAGGATTTTTCTGAAGATACCCAGTCTCTCTCACCACCCAAAAACCCCACCCTACAACCTGAACAGGCTTTCAGTGCCTCACCACTCGAAGTGGCATTTATTAGAGTAATTTTTAGCTTTTTTTTTTTATCGGGGAGGTGATGACATGTACAAATACTTTTACATTTTTTACTGAAAAAACGTTTTGAAAGCATATGTAGCCTTTCACCCAACCAGATATATTAGCTGGGGCAATAGACAGTAAAGGAAGGGTGATAATTTTAAAGCCAAAGTTGATAATTGAGAGAGAAAAAAAATGGATGGTTACTTTGTTAGATAATGGTGATTGTTTGCATATTCATTTTGGTCTGTCTATATTTCTGAGATGAGGTATTATGTACATTATTTACATTATTCGGATTATTGTCCTCATCTTTGTCGCCATATTTATCACAACGTTTCGACCGTTGTATGCTTTTGCCTTTGCCTTCTTCAGGTGGTTGGAATGTCGAACTGAACCCTTTATTTCGCTCACTGGAGTAGACTGTTCTAGTTCCATGTGCCATGTTTATCTCCTGTTAATTTTCTCTCTGAAAGTTCTCCGCTGCCTTAACCGGGTATTGAACTCACACTCTTTGGGTCTTGTCATTGGATCTAAGCCTTTATCCAATGTACCATGTGTCCTTGAGGACATCTGGGTATGAATTTCTGGGTATTATAAGGACACATGGCACAGTGGATAAAGGCATTGGTTAGATCCAGTGACAAGACCCAAAGAGTGTGAGTTCAATACTCGGTTAAGGCAGTGGAGAACTTTCAGAGGGAAATTAACAGGAGATAACTGATAGCTGACATCCATCAAACATTGCACGTGAGCAAAATAAAGGGTTCAGTTCGAAATTCCAACCACCTGAAGAAGGCCGGAGCGTACAACAGCCGAAACATTGTGATAAATATGGTGACAAAAATGAGGACAATAGTCCGAATAATGTAAATAATGTTCATTTTGGTTTGTGGTACTTTGGTTGCAGTAGTTTGTGAGTTGATCTTGCAAGCCATTTACAGTGACTCTTCCTCTCTCTCCTCTCTTTTTTTTTTTAATTCATTTTTTTTTCATTAAAAATTCTAAAGAACATTAGTCTACATTTGAACCAAATTTCTTAATCAGAAGTTCTATGTTTAAAAAAAGAAAAGGAAAAAAACTGCTTGCAAATATTATCAATTGCTGTTTGTGAATTCTAACCAAATCTCTGCTCGATATAAAGTGGTCAACAAAATCAGACCAGGCAAGAACTTGGTAGAAAGGAAATTGAAAATTGTGGTTTCTGTTGTGTGTGCGCATTGGGAAAATCTGCTTTATTTTGTTTGATAATCTGACAGCTCTACATTAAATTGCAAAGAATCTCAGCCCTTTCAGGAACTCCACCAAAACAAATCAATTTTACTTGGACCAGAGACAAGATTATTAATCCTTAAAAATGGCTTGACTTTATACCAAAAGTTGCAATCAAAATCTCAATTGAAAGATTCTAGGGCTTTTTAGCTTCTGGATCTTAAACATATGTAAAATGTAATTTTTTTTTCCTTTTCTTCAGGCATGCAGTAAATGTAATATTGCATCATTCTTTCAATGCATTAATAACATTGTCTGTATTGAAGCATGTAGGTACCTGCTTTAATATGAAGAGTGTTATTAATGCAGATAACTGTAAAATCAATGTTAAGATAACATGACACAAACACTTTTATTCTCATTTATCAACACATTTATATAAAATATTAATCACTCAACGTTTGAGTTGTAAGCTACACAAAAATCAATGAAATTTGTAATGTATTATAAGATTTCTTCTCATTCCAACTTCATAAATGGAGAGAAAGATTTAAGATTCTTCTCTTGTCTTGTAAGTTTTATATTTATAAGTCTACCTTTGTTTTTGATTTGAATATTGCTGCCACATATGGTATGGTGCTCCTGCTATATATTTAAAGATTGTTGATAAAATCTAAAGAAGAATTGGCAATATTATTGGTCCAGAACTGGTTTCAGTCAATTTCCTGCCACTTTAATGTAGCTTCCCTAAAATGCCTTTTCTATAAGTAATTTCATGATAATTGTTCTAATGAACATTCTAATATAGTACCTAGACTTTATGAATTTAAGCATTGTACTAGATTGGCAACAAGGTCTAGTCAATTTATAGTTGAATTGGCTAGATGTAACTGTAAGTTCTATGCTAACACTTGTACTTCTTGCTTGTGGAACTCTCTCCTGGCCTCTTGATTTTCAGTTAACTTTGATCCTCAAAAATTTCAATGCAATGCCAATCATTATCTACTGTCTTCTTGATTATTCTTCTATTGTTCTCGCTCCTTAATGTTTCTCTTTTTGTTCTTATTCTTTAACACTCAATAAACCCTTGTGTCTTAGTGGCTTTACTGTCTTGCATGGGGTAAAATGATTAAAAAAAAACAAGTTGTGGAAAGAGTGCCTTTCTGCTGCTAATATATCTATAAGTATAAATGGCTGTGTATTCATGTGCTTCTTTTGTGAGCTCCCTCTATGAATTTAACATTTTTCAATTTACTTACATACTACTTTTCAATTTATACACTCCTACGAATATACATTATCGTCTGAATCTGGCATAGACAAACTAGAATTATGATACACTTACAAAAATGTATACACATGAACACTGCTTGACAAGTCAAATGAACATGAAGTCTGCTTAACCAATAAAAATCACAAAAATGCCATTTCCCTTTGAAATGAGTGTTATGTCTTCTTTGTTTCTGAATAAAGCAAGATTTATACCTGACTTT